CCGAAAATTCGTACATTGTGTATATCCCACGGTTGTTTCATTACTTCTTATTATACATATATTCATATAAGTATATGTTTATGAAAACTACTTTTTGTTTTCCTCTCTTCAAATTCATTTTATTCACTCATGCGTGAAATATGGATTATACGAGTTGCATCAAATAAAAGAGGAGGATCTAAGCTTTACAAATATGTGTCATTTATTAATCATAATCGTGATTGAGTTAAGATAAAACATCGATAATTGTCGGTTTCGTTTTTTTGTGGGACGCACTGTATAATAATAGACTTAAAATGTATACATATTTTCACACACGGATATGCCACGAATGATTATTACTACTAATGTCATTATCATTAGTATCATTATAAAGTCTATCGTCGTCCCATACGTCCCATGATGTCGTCTCTATGTGTGTTCGTATGTCTTAGTTATTTTCACCACTTGCTGTTATTTATTGTATTAACCCATGTATAATTTGTATTTTAAGATGTGTTAACATGTTTCAGTTTTTCTTCTTATTTTTAATATCACTTTCACCACAAGCGGTTGTTTTTAGGGAAGTTTTCACCGGTAAATTGTATTCGTTTTATATCAATTCGAACATACAAAGAAATTTGAAAAATAAATGTTTACCTGAAACAAAATGATGTAATTTGGAAATATCTTGGGACCTGTCTTTCTATCTAAACTGTAACATCAGCTTGATTGGCAGAAGACTGAAATTTTGAAATGTTGAAGTTCTTTGCAGACTCATGCCCTTGGTTATTAATCCAATTGTTACACGATATACCACTTTTACACTACTTAACAATCTCAAAACCGACCAATTAGGGTCGTATTAACCTTGGTCATTCGGTGTTATACAAGAATATAAATATGCATATGTTTTGATAAATGTGTATGATTATTCACCGCTATCATTTCGAATAAATTTGTTTTCACATTATGAGAAAGAATTCAATTATCTGATTCATGTATTCATTATCAAATTTAAATGCTATAATAATTAATAGTCAAAATGGTCAAATAGTTAGGTTTCAAAGTTTACGGTATACGAGTTTTCAGTGTAGTGATGTGTGTGTGCGGGGGGGGGGGCAGGGTGAAATGAGAGAAGTTTGTCAGAAGAACGTGTCTGAGAGTGTGTAAGAGTAAAGGGACTACTTGCTCATCTTTTGACCCACTCTTGTGTCACCTCACAACATATAACTTAATCTCCTTTGCCCCCTTTTCTGTTTTCTACCTTTTGTCTGTTATTGGCTTAGTTATGTTGGTCATGAATTTTGTTATATATATATATATATATATATGTATATCATACTTTGTGCAAATAGGATCTTGTTCTTGTCAAAGTTGATCCATTTTTCAAACCACATTTGTATTTATCATTGACAATGTCAATTGAACATAATTCAGCCATTTGGCTGCAAAGTGCAATCACAGTAAAAACAAAACCTATTCAATCAATCAATCAATCAAAAGAATGTACCCATCCACAATGAAATAAAACATTGACACATACAAGCTCGTTCACAAAAAAAATTAACAAAGAGCGTGAGATTTATTTTATAGATCTCGAATATACATACACAATATCATTCATGTTATTTCAATTCAGTTCTTATCAGCTGATCAAGGTGAAGCAAAATCAACGTTTTTTCACAAATGCCTCTATAACAGACTATCTAAGGCTCATTGATAACATTTTGGGACAGTATTTATATAATAACGGATAGCTTTGAGTGTGATACAAGAATACATTGCTCGAGCTATGACAATATTGAACGAGTCGGAGACGAGTCCAATATGGTCATAGCCATATAATATTATTATTTTCTTTATCTTCTTTCTTTACCTCGGAAAATATGGCCTTTTTCTGTGTGTGATTCCGATATCGTTAGTTGAAGTTCCCGGATGACTGATCAATACGAAAACAATATTGGTCAGCCATCCGGGTACTGCGCTAAAGATATTAAATACACTGATTTATTGTACCACTTGGAAGTCTTATAAAGATAATAATGGTATATACATGCATTCACTTGTAGGTCATTCTTGTCCTATATACCTACATCTTCCCCTCTCTAAATCATCTTTATATAATTTTCTCCTTATCCTCTACCCTTACCCTCTTCTTATCCTCTACGTCATTTCATGACGTCAGCATAATTACGCACATGTTCCGAATACTGAGAGCGAACGAAATGAATTACTGCATAAGAACTGAGGTACGTCATAAAACTAAAAAGAAACCCCTTTTCCATAATCCTATAGACTAGAACTGGACATTTTGAAGATTTACTGTTTTAGAGCATACAGGGCCGGGGACTAACATAATTACCGTTGTTTTTACTCTTAGGTGACCTTACTTTACTATCTATGTCCTTCAGGTCCTTGGGTAATATATATATTATTATTATTATTTTTTTTTTTGGGGGGGGAAGGACATTTTGTGAGTCGAGTCGAGCTTCAACCATACCAATGAAGTGATGCTGCAACATCGTACAAATAAAATTGAGCATAACAACAGGAAGCAAGTCTAAATTGACTGAGATAACCATACATCAGAATGACTATACGTATTCAATCCTGAAAAAGAGAAAACAAACCATGATTCTGACTGAAAGTTTGGCTACCCTAAAGTCAGCCGAACGTCTGTCACATTGCCATCCTGCAGCTTATAACCTCGTGTTCCCTACATGACCTCAACATTGCCAAATGGAGGATTATGCGTGGGAGGATATGATTATCATGGATATTAATTACCCCCGCTATAAATACACCGCGTCACGTGTAACTCCTCTCTATCAGTGGCGCTGAACAACCGCGGATAAAAACAGGATCCCTCATTAAGATTAGCGTCACAAGTTGAACCAAGTTGAATCGTCTGAATGTAGAAATATTAGAGAATCATGTCGGTGGCGGTTTGAAATAAATGGCGAAAGGAGTTCCTATTTCAGAACGACAGCAATTCGAAGAGAGAATCCTAGCGACCAGTGCAAAGTTTAAGCTCTTACTGCAGCTCTACAGTAGCAAACTGCAGCATATTTAGGAAAGGGTATAGGTGTAATATCCTAAGCCCGCAAAAATCTTTTAAACGTTGTTATTCTTTTGGGCCTCGGCTAAATTCAACCCCCCAAAAAAACTATAGTACCATTATCTGAAAAGTTAAGCATGCAGATGATGATATCAGGTCCTATTTTCTCATTAATGTTTTCTTTAATGTGCTTAAGATTGTCGAGCTGTTATAACGCACATAATGTAAATATGTAAAGTCTGCGATTGCTTGAGGCTGTCATGAGACCCAATTAGAAGTAATTAGGCGTCACAAAAAAAGTTTGTTTAATTGCCCTTTAAGATCGACCCAAACATCTTAAAATCTACGTTCCGCTTTTTTTCCTTTTTTTTTCAAAGGATTTTAGAAAAAATGTTTAATGAATACAACAACATATGTATTTAAAGGTTTCAAAGCTGAAAAAAGCCCAAAGACCGACCCAGGTGCTGGCACCTAAAGGGCAACATCTGTCTTTGTTTCAGGCCTTACACTACGATCAACCCATCTCGATATCTACTGACGTCACACTGCTACGTAAAGTGTAAATGGGTCTACTATCATACAACTTAAATTAGAACAGACAAAAGAGGGAGACGAAGAGATAGGAGAGGGGGAGGGGAGGGGTGGCGAGATTACAGCCACCCACACTCGACTCTGGTAAAACGTTGAGGAGGCTGAAGATAGGATCAGAGAAGTTACAATGCATGGATCTGTACCAGGGAGGTCTCACCTCCCTGTCTGTACTTAGCTTCCATAATAAGCAACGGCAGAAAACTCTAGTGGATTGAAATATCACATCAACTATAAAAATTAACTTAAAGGGGAAGTCCACCCTGAAATTAAGTTAGTTTTAATAGGAGTAGAAAAATGAGAGAAACAAGTCAGTGAAAGTTTGAGCAAATTCCGATTAAAAATAAGGAAGTTAGGATTTTTTAAGTTGTGATCAATCAAACACAAATTGGCAACTCTATGACGTATCATGCGAGCTCAACTTCCATTTGCTCAGTACTAAAAAAATCTAAAATTTTCATTTTCCCTCAAGAAAAATTTCAACCATACATGCACCCTAAATATAATAATTGCAAATATGTTTCTATACTCCCCCTGCAAGGAACAAATATATATTCCGTCATCAATAACGAAGAAAACATGATTTTATGGAATATTATGCACAAAGCAAATGAAGGAGAGCTCGTATAATAAGTCACAGAGTTGCCAATTTGTATTTGATTGATCACAACTTCAATAATTCATAACTTTCTTATTTTCATTCAGAATTTGCTCAAACTTTCACTCACCTGATTTTCTTATTATTCTGCCTCTATCGAAACAAACTTATTTTGGGGGTGGACTTTCCCTTTAAAATTTCTTATAGTACCATGGTCTTTAGATAACACGACATCATGTACTGACTTTATGACAGCTACGTACAGGTATAAGCGTATGCAAAGTTATTCACTATAAAACAAAAGCACATCAACAAAACTAATCGGAATGCATTATGTATTCCATAGGCAAGGAAATTATGTCATCTTATTAGCAATACATGCAGCATTTAGTAAACAATGTATTAATGGCAAAAACAAAAAAATATGTTCAGGCATTTGGCACATCAACAAAACTAATCGGAATGCATTATGTATTCCATAGGCAAGGAAATTATGTCATCTTATTAGCAATACATGCAGCATTTAGTAAACAATGTATTAATGGCAAAAACAAAAAAATATGTTCAGGCATTTGGCAGCTGCTTATCCGCGTACATACTACTCTCAACCCAAACTCGGACCATTTACTCTGATGGCAGGTCAATGAAGACAGCGTACTTGGGCCACTCCTTGTCACTGTAACACTCCTCTGTGGTCGAGGTGCACATGAAATGGTAATCGTCCATGAGACTGACCCCAATCTTCTTCAAGCATATGCCCATGAAGACATCCTCCTAGGGGAATAAGGGCGTAGTCAGTGCAGCACGGAACGTTGCCTCCACCAGATCTGTAGACATGATGAACGCTGGACCCGAGAGGTACGGTGGGTACTTCGATGCCGGGTAGAAGTTTTTGGAGATGCGGTACTTCCCCCATTCTCCATATCTGCTACGGACCACCGGCATGTCCAGGTTCACGTTGCCGATGACGACCCCTCGAGAGGGCGCTTGAAGGATGAACTCCAGGATGCGAGCCTTGTTCAGCATCGTATCGTCGTCGATTTTCATCGCAAACTTTCCATGTCGACAATGCTCCGTAACCCATTTAAAACCCATTACCGTCTTCCGCGTCAGGTTCAGGTAACTATCAATGAAATCCTCCTGGACAATATCGCCATAGATGCTAGCCTCGGCATTGATCTTGGATTGCAGAACCGGATCATTCGTCGTTCCCAGCATAAACACTGTCCTGACGAGGGTATGATTTAGTATTTTCCAGGCTTGGTTGCTACCGTAGGTCACACGAATATGGTCTCTACGTTTCAAATTACCAAGAGCTGATGTCACAAATATAATCATTGGCACTCGATATTGTCTTCCTTGTTGATCAAAGCAAACATTACGGGGCGTGTTCATCCGAGTGTAGATATGTGGATCGGTTGGTTCCAACAAATAATTACCGCGTTTGTATGTATCCCAAGATTGCTCCTTTTCGTTATCCAAACGTTCCTCTCCTCTGCCTAATCGAGGCATTCCTGTCATATTACGTCGCCATCCTGCATGATTATTATTCTCAACCACACCATCACCCAGAAGACTTTCACGATTCCCTCTTTGCAAGATCATGGCGTTAGCTGACGAAACGATGACGAATCGTCCTTGGTCTCCTCCAACAGCAGTAATTGATCTCAAGGATCTCTCCTGGCGAAACTTTCCAACAGTTCTGTTCATGCCGAATATAACGACTAATCCCAGCAGCCCAAGGTAGAGGTAACATCCAACTGCTGATCGCCATATTCTGGACTTCAACTAAAACCTCATCCTGAAAGTTTTTACTCCTGCAACCTCTCCGCATTGGTTCAGAAATGTACCTCGCCGTGAAAGTTGTCAGGAAGAATTTGCTTTCAATTTCTCTTTTTGGTCACCCTGCATTCAGTGACAAGCTTTAAACAAGGTCCTTTGCTGCCATGCTTCTTCCGAAATTGTTAGGTTTGTGTATAAGTTCAAGACTCTGCTTCTCGCGTCAGTACTTAATTCCATGACAATAAACGCAAACTTGTCGAAAGCTAGTGTAGCACTTAGTTCTGATTTCGTGAGTCTAAGATTAGAATATTGATAATTCCGAGCTATGTTCAAATTCGACATCATGATATTGGTTAACCACTCATAACCAGAAGAACATCGAAGTGATACGAATTGCTGGAATGACATTTATTTCTAAGCATCTGCACCTTGACTAGGGGGAATGAATTCTTCAGCAATCTGACAACGCCAGCTTCGAAGGATTCCTGGAAGCTATGCGGGAGAAATAAGGCGAACCCTTCTCAACGTAGATAGGTTGATATTTTCTAGCCATTAATGACGCTTAGTTCATCCGAATGGAGGTGTGAATCTGTTGACGGCCATTTGCAAGTATATGAACAATCATAGGGAAAGCAACTTTTATTGATAGAAGAATTTTAAGAAAATACAAAGAAGCGACTATCTGTAACAGTATACTGTGTTCGCCTTAAAAACCTCTATGGAGGTTTTACTTTTTATTTCATCTTGCCGATGAAAACAAATTAGAATACTACCAAAATCTGTGCACAATAAAATAACAATGAATACGATAGACTAAAGCTGCAAAACACCTTGACAATGATTATCCCTCCTTGTATTTATTTCTAAGAATTGAAAATTATTCATGGGTTGTTACTCGAGAGGGAATTTTGAAAAATACTATTATATTGTTTTTTTTCTAATATTTAATGTAAGCAAGAGCTATTTAAATTGATATTGCAAATTCAAATTACGAAAGGACCTTAGTTAATGACTGTGCATAGGTGCTTGCATAATTATCTGCCCATAGTTCATACAAACATCTTCTAAGTCATAAATACAAGTGAGAAGTTGACTTTCTTATCGCAAGTAAAATTCTGTCACTGAACTAAAATGAATAATTCTAAAAGTTTTAAACATTTTTCAGAATAACATCCCTGTCCAGTAGGACCTCCTCTCGCGAGGCACGCAGTAACTTTGTCCCAAAGTAATAATATTTTGTTTGAAAGCCTCGGTAATAACACATATATGATTGCCTGGCTGTCTCCCAGTTGGTGTGCCAAAATAATGTATTTGCAAACAAAACAATGATTAGCCTTAATACATCATTTTCTGCATGCATAGGTATAACCGCCTCTAAAAATCTAGTACAATTAATTTTAATTGAACATGGTAGGATATCATCCAAAAACAATATTGATATCAAACATAATGTGAGCTGAAGATCGCAAACAATGAAGATTGTATATTGTGTCTAATTGTGAGACATCACGGAAACAAGTCATTAAAATAAGTTGACAAGAAATCATCGAAGTTAAGAATGGATAGAACAAAACGATTGCTTCACATAAACTAAATTGTAGAGAGAAGAGAGGGGCGGGTGAAGAGAGAAAGAATGAAGAAGTTAAGAGAGAGAGAGAGAGAGAGAGAACAAGAGCGAGAGAGAGGGATGGGGGGTGGGGGTGACGGCGTGAAAAGTTAGAAAAGTACAAGAACACACAAATAATCAAACACCCAACAAAAAAGACAGCTCGTCAAAGTTGGTGAGAATGAAGAACTTACAGCATGATAAGTACCCTTAAGCAGTCTCAATATACATTTTATGCGGAGACAGCTTGGCTATAATCTGAAAGCCGTAAAATTAAATCAAGACCTACGTCGATGCGTAATACAGATTAACGAATCAACTTTCCGTTTCGATAGTTCCAAAACAAACTGAAGTCTTGAGCATCCAAGAGCGCCTTTGCATTAATTCTCTCAAAGCGCTAAGATTGATATCGTTTAATCAACCTGCTACGCCTGCTATTAATGTCGTATTTGCAATCTAAAACATCTCAAGCGTGAAATACAGTGCGTCCCAGAAAAAACGAAACCGAGAAGTATCGATGTTTTATCATAACTTAATCACAATCATAATTAATGAATGATACATATTTGGAAAGCTGAGAGTCTCCTCTTTCAGTTGATGCTACTCAGATGATGCATGCTACTGATGATGCTACTCAGCCATGCATGAAGACTCTCGTCTACGGCTGATTGTCAACGAAACGGAGTTAAGTCTTTTGTTAATTTCGTTTAATAAAATTATGGAAATGCAAGCACTACTTTAAACAAACAGAACTTTGTCATTCCTCGCTCTTTTTTCCTGATTGAGGTGTCATATGAAAGGGCATAAACTCAACTTTCTAGAAATGTGAATTTTTCTTCGAAATTCAGATACCGCCCGCCAAATGTCTTTTTGGTTTCCTTCCTTCAAATTGCCTTTAATCACTCATGCGTGAAATATGCATCATCTGTGTAGCATCAACTGAAAGAGGAGACTCTCAGCTTTCCAAATATGTATCATTCATTAATTATGATTGTGATTAAGTTATGATAAAACATCGATACTTTTTTTTTCATTTTTCTGGGATGCACTGTAATAATAATAATAATAGCTAGTTCTTATATAGCGCTTTTCAGGACCGAAGGCCCTCTCGAAGCGCTTTACAGATATATATATTATTACCCCGGTCATAGGATTCAGGCTTACCCGCACACAATGTATGCACATTCTCCACTCGATGGGGAGCATTCCAGCCAGGCGTCTTTTTCACAAGCGCACACGTGCTAATCTAACCACATTAGCTTTCGCATCCTACCGGGTACCCAGTTACACCTGGGTGGAGAGTGGCAAATGTAGATCAATGTCTTGCCAAAGGACATTAGTGCCGCGGTGGGACTTGAACCCAAAACAAACTCAATTTAAAGTCTTAAACGAAGTCGCGTCGCCGTCAACATTGGCTCAACATTACTCACTCAATCAAGTCTTCCTTGAAAATGTACATCGGTAATCATGGCATTCTTGACCCTATATATCGCATGATTATCAGCATGATAAGTGACCATTCGTTCTATTTTCGTAGTATGCCATTGCTAAGGATAGCAACCTCATGACTCGAGTTGGGGCTCGTGCCCCTGACTCCTCTATTTCATTTCCGATCAAACCCTGCTCCTATCTCGAGTTCACGCTTTAACCTGCTTCTACCCAACTAGAATCAAGCAAGAGGTGTTTGAGAGAACAGTAATTGTCATCGAGCGGCGCCCCGTGAACTATGGAAAGAGGACAGAGGGAGAGAAACAGGAGGGGGGGGGGGGTGTTCACCTCTTCAAGATCCGACGATCGAGTGTGGGCGTGTGTGTGTGTGTGTGTGTGTGTGTGCTTGCGCATGCCTACTTAAAACTCCCGCGTTCATTATGTCATTCTAACAATATATAACTAATTAAGGACTGGTCTCTCATTTCCATGACATACATTTCTCTATCAATATAAGTGATTTTTTAGTTTCTCTAGTTGCCATTACTCCCACTTCTCTCCCGTCAAGCCTTTCCGGTTAATCGGAGACGGTGCCCTATTTATCTGAAGGTCTCTAATGATATAATTTGTTTGATCACCTATCACCATTTTGTATCTGTTTAACGCTAATTTAAGATGACAAGGAGACCCGATGACTCGTCATGGCGGTTAACTCGTGCGTATGAGCGTGCTCTACTTCAAAGTCTTGTTTTGACTCCTGCTTCTTTAGAATCAAAGATTACTCGAGTAAACACTGGTCGAGCGAATGCATTGCACGGTTACTAAACTTACTCAAAGATATTGATAACATTGATTATCTATATATCCGGGCAACTGTGTAATGCTTGAGAATCATCGAAATGAGATTGAACTGACTAAATCTTTGCTGAATATCACAAAGAATGGAAAACTATCAACGCAGATACAAGTGTAATGGATTAGAAAAAAACATGTGGCATTAATGGTCTAAAGCGGTGTATGTCATCATACATATTTACATTAGCTTCACAATTACCATGATCTCTTGATTTTCTTTCTTTTTCTTTTCCGTTATCTTTATTAACAAGATCTTGGATCTGCCCCTGAATAGAATAATGATTATTGATAAAGAGACTATAATAATAAGATGTACTATGAGAAAGAAATGGTTTTGGGGAGTTGGGACATGCTCTTCTCGAGCCGCTTAGTACTTTTCAAACAGCACATGTCTTTTATATGAACCCAATGTGCAGTGAAAGGCCTGTAGATTTGTCCGAACAGCCTAAATGTTTTACCTACATTTCATGAAAAAAATTTCAGATACGTTTTTTAAATGGCACTTTCATTGGGAAGGCAATAAGAATTTAGTTCGTGCCCAACGTATATGTATTTGCAAACCATTCTGTTAACTGGTGGTTATGCTAGAGGCGCCACGCTATAAATGCACTTTTACAAACCGATTTTGGTTGGTTGGTTGTTTCTTGGTTGTTTGGTACATTTATTTTATCTGACTACTAAGAAAGCATGTGCAATTCTTTTAAGTTAGCAACTAAGGGACTGACGGCTTTAAGTCCTCTCCGAGGGACTTGGTAATGAGGATTAATGCCTTACCATTTGGTTTCGAACCTGGTACCTCCCGGTTACAAGTCCACTGCTCTACAACTGAGCTATTGCACCTCCTCACAACAAAAACTTGCCGGGACGGTGAAATAGATTTTTGTTTAATAATTGCCTTATTAATGGTAATATTTCTCTGCTTTGAAGTTTTCAAGATCGACTCACTAAACCCTTTTCTGTGTATTCATGAATAAAAGACTAAAACATGCCAAAACAGCTGAAAGGGGTAAGTCGGCACTGTGGGGTTATCAAATTAAATCGCTGAATGCAGGGGGAAGGGAATTTCTGCAGTTGCCGGCTATTTTATAAACTATACTAATCTGATGCCACACTTCTTGTTTCCTCGGTGAGCTCCGTGTGGGGTATTGTATTCGGAACACAGTGAGCAAAAGCCAATTAAATCCATTTCCATTTGCACTCGACCATGTATATTTTGACGACTGAGGAGGAAATTGTGACAATTGCAAATAGCATAAGCATGGACTACCATGTCAAAAAACACAACAACAACATACAAAAGAAATGGTCAAGATCTAATAGAGAAGTACAAACGTATCAAAGACACCAACGGCGTAGGCATACAGTTATTTCGATATAATCTAATATAATTTGGTCAGAAATTCGCATTAGGAAATACCAGTAGAACCGAGGGACCTATTTAGCTCAATATACTCTCACAGGTATTGATATCAAGGTTGTCTAAAGTACGATTTTAATTTTTAAGTTAAGACTCGGAAAGTTGTAACCTAATAAACCTGAATGAGCCAGGGGTTAGCAATGCAACGAAATAGCGAGGGGATTCGGCACTTCTCCGAAGAAAGTTAAAAAAACTATCATCTGAAGTTTGCATGTTTATCAACAAACTACCAGTGATGCATGCCATAAACCGTTCCCCCAAAGTAAGCTTGACACCTTAGAAAGACCTATAGCAAAACAATTATACAAACTTTTCCTTGGCTTGATGGGGAAAATACAGTTAACAACTGAATTATTCAAGTCCCTTGTAAATTAACATGTTTTTGTGTTTTTCTTATCTTATGAATGAAAGGTGGACTGGTTGAATAAGGGCCTTTGTTGAAAACTTTTAGATGTACATAAGCTAATATGTCACGTTCTCAAGAAATATAACTTGGACAAATCAGTGTTTTATATTCTCGATCAATTACGAAACTTAGTAAGGATATGAATAACGTAGTTGCTAACTATATGAACATCTGTGGTCAAATTAAGAAATCCTACAACCTGATCTTTCGTTGTCCATGTTGCCAGTAAACTGGAAATTCACGATCTTTCCTTTGGATTGTAAGAAATTCAAGTGACTCTCTGGGCAAAATCTAACCAACACGCCATATTCAAATGGTCACATGACCCCGTTGCATTCGATATCCTCATATTCCTGCTACATTTGACTTTCTTTGAGATATATCAGCCTGAACAGGACTTCTGCAATCTTTTGTGTGGTGTGAGGTCCCATTCCTGGGATAGTCTTAATTACCTGAGTGAAAGCCCAAACTCCTGGTGTTCGCTTACAAATTCCAAGAAAAGCCATAAATAAACAGGTTATTTCCCACATTTACTGCCACTGTTTTAAACCATTATAGATGTATTCAAAACATTTTTTTTACTGAAGATTTCTTGACCCCCAAACCTTTTACCAACACTGTGCATTGTCTTCACATATCTCAATTTGATTATGTCGAAGGTAAACTTGAAAAATATTATTAATAGGGTGTTAATTAGGTATGCCCTCTGATCCCTTATTTATAGTTTTTTATTGGAAGTATTATGATTTCGTATCCTTTGTATCCTATTTTAACTGAAAAGAATGCAAAAATATTGATATTAAAAGTGATAATAAGTGAATAAATCAAGAAATTCGTAAATAGAAACAACTTCAGTAATCGTCTTCATTTCATCGTCAATTGTTCGTTTTTCTTCCAGTTACACTACGTAACGAGCTTAAAACTCTCCAAGCTAGTCGAAACCTTCTTATAATAAGCGTAAAAAGGGGACACCATAATAATTCATATGAGAAAAGTAATTTGTATCAGTTTGTAAATAAGAGTTTCTACGACACTGTACAGATTAAACCTCTGTATTATACCTTCATCAACAGCTAAAGAACGTCAAAGTTTTCACTCACATGTTTAACATAGAAAATGCCTACCTACCCACCTCCCAACCAATAGCTTTTGAGATTCATATCAAACATCATGCCGTGTCCTGTCTACTTTCCGATCAAATTCGATTAGGCTGCTTAATACCCCCTAATGTTCACGGAAGCAGAAGGTTGGAGAATAATGCAAAAAAAATCCCATGCGAATAAAATCCCATGCAGAAATCTCGAGGATGTAGTATACCGGATGTCTCTTCTACGTTCGCAGCCGATTGGACCAAGAGGGCCATAAAACATGAGATTTGCCATTTAATCCATCAATATTTGTAAAAACATCCATAATTGCGAACTCTGACTCAGCCTGAGACATGGTAAGTTCTACGATGCAGAATGTTTCCGAATCACCACAATTTTCAACCGTTTTCTTCGAGGATTATTTCATAGAATTGACAAAGGAGATGACAGAAACCCCAGTTCTGGTGGACACATCTCATTCGATTGATATCAACGGGATTGTGTGGCCCATCCTTTTCACGGTTCTGATCGTTATTGCGAACTTTCTCGGGCTCGTAGCCTTCTGCCTTCTGCAAAAAACTTCGCACTTACAACAACTACTTTATTATAAACTTGACCATTCTTGACTTCATTGGCGGGTTGCTTCAGATTCCTAATGTTGTCCATACGCACCTCGGGTACTATCCGTTCTCACATAGGATATGCAGAGTGGTGTCTGCAATACAGGCCGGACTTCTGAACGCCTCTAATTTTGCCATCGTCGTGATCTGCGTTGATCGACATCGGGCTACTTACGATCCCATCAACCACTTCATGTCAAGAAGCAAACGAATGGCTATCATCAAAAACTCCATCCCATGGATAGTTTCCCTAGCATTTTGGTTTCTCTACACCACCGCACCTGAATTCATCATCGGCTTCGACAACGGGCGTTACTGCGCTCGTTGGTACCGCTACAAGCCATTACTCACCGTAATGACGTTCATCAGCTACTTCTATCTACCATTCACCATCATCTCCGTACTGTACTTCAGAATCGTCTTGAAGATTCGGGCTTCATTCGGGGGTCGGGAAGTCGTGAGACAGTTTGCAATGCAAGAACCGAACGGGGAAAGCACCCTAGCAGAGCTACATCGCCATGGGATTGCGTCATCAGGCAGCACATTGACCATCAATACAGACCTGTCATCGGCCAACCATGACGGGGATTTGAAGATGAAGGATAGCGATGATACCAACATGAAGAAAACTACAGTAAGTTTCCTTACGTTTTGTTGTTGTTGTTGTTGTTTGTTTTACTGAATGCACTGCTTGGATTCAACTTCAGTAAGCGTTAAGTGTTTTAGAGCCAAAAAAAAAACTTTTCGAACTTAAAACGAGAGGAAATAAAGCATCTTTAAAATTATATAGTCTGGCGCGCCCAAATACAACTATACCAAGGGAGCATCGGATAACTGTGGTGTCAATCTTTTCATTTTTTTTTAAACCTTCAGACTCGACGTGAATCGTCCGCCGAGATGCACAAGGCTACCAAAACGCTCCTCTTCATCGTCGTCGCTTTCGTAGTTTCATGGCTACCGCAGAGCATCATTATCCTCATTTACTCCATCGAACCCGTGCTCATTATTCCAGAACTACCTCGACCAGTTCTACTGTTCTTTGGATGGATGCTGTTTCTCAACAGCCTCCTCAACCCGATATCGTAAGCCGTGTCGCAACCGTTGTTCAGGTCTACTATAACCAACATGCTCCTTTGCCGGCGAAAGTAATATAATTTTACTTTGAATGTATCAAACATTTTTATGTTGTACATAATATATTGTATTATAAAGAAAATTCGTTGTAATTGTAGCAAAACAGAATTTTAAGCTTTTAAAATCTTGAGTACTGTCTCTATTATATATGTACACTCCATGTAGCAATCATGACATGGCATTTCAGATCAGATGGTGTTCAATTTTTTAATTCATTTGCTTATTTCTCCCTAATGTACGAAAGTCGGGAAGGAGCTTACTTGTTTTTTTTTTTTTTTTTTTTGAAATACCCGACACTCCTTGACACAAGAGAGAAGTCCAAGGATGAGCGAGCAGACCGTTAGCTAGTGTATGGGAGTGTGAATGGGAGTGTCTATGAGAGTGTCCAAGGTACAGGAGTGAGAATAGGAGCGTGTATAGGATTGAGAGCGTGTATTGAAGAGCAAAGGGCCTGCTTGCTCATTCTTTGACCCACTCTTGTGTCACCTCACAAAATATATTTTAAACGTGACTTAATTTGCCTTAGTCATATTAGTTATGAACTTTGTTATGAATTTTGTTATATACTGTATATTATACTTTGTGACAATGTCAACCACATTTGTAATTATCATAATTCATTGCCAATGTAAATTGTTCATAATTCAGCCATCTGGCTGCGAAGTGCAATGAATAAAACCTTTTCAATCTCAATCTCAATCTCAATCTAATATTAAAAACTATGCCGTTTTTAAGCGTAATTTCCCAAAAGGTAATCCAAATCGTATCCAACAGTCATCGTGGTGGGTAAATCGTAACTAGGATGTAGATATTTTGAAAAAGCCCTCATTCATTTGATATTCCAATAAAGTGGGGAGGGGGCGAAGTAGATTAGTATTATTAGGAATATCCACGAAAAAAGTACATTCTCGAGGTCCTGCAAAAGCTTGCGCGGACAGGGGGTGGGGGGGGGGGGGGAGTCTGAGAGGAGAGCGTAAATTGGCGTGGAGTCCAGGGGCGGAGTCTTTGGAAACTCAGGAGTTTTAGCAGGCCAGGGGCGGCGGAGTGTCGTTCAAAGTGTGGGGGAGCACCAACATAAAAGGGCAAATTCCGGGAAAAGGGGGCACCTATAAAGGGAAACCTCGAAGCAAAAATATACAATTTTGTAGCCATTGGTATATCTCTCTCTCAATAAACTTCATAACGATACGTCACAATATTTCACATTTCAAATTATTTGCTTAAAAGAAAATGAATATCTTTGTATGTATATTTTGAAATGGTTTGAAAGGAATGAGGATGGTTAACATTTAAGTACGCAGACACTCCAAAAGTGGTTTATAATAAACACTCGGGTCGCGGCGCGCTGGAATCACTTGGGTCACGGCTCGCTGGGCCATTTTTTTTAATGGTGTCTTCAAATCGGCCCTACACGCTGGGTTAAATCTTATCTTAGATTAGCGATTGTTTTTAACCATTTTTAAATAGGGTGCATGGGAAATTTTACCTAAAAACGAAGTTGGAAGTTGCGATTGCTTTTTTAATGATAGAAAAATAAGAAGACAAGAACTACTTTTGCCACACTCAACCCGCTGTAATGGCAGCTAAAGAAAAGAGTGGAGAAAATCAAGAATGACATGATAAAAGAAAAGGGAAATAGGGAAAAAGGGATAGAAAGAAAGGCTATTTTGAGCACCTCACTGACTTAGCCCCCCCCCCCCCCTCCTATGATCTCGGCCGTCGAATGTCCGATGAACACGCAAATGTGCATGTTTGTAAATAATTATGCAAGAAACGAGATCGTATAATTAGTTGTTTCCTAATATGCAAATTTTTGTCGTTATAGCCTAATTAATCATGCGAAATGCTATTTTTTTGCATTTTACAGAAAACTCTACATATTTGTCTGTAGACTTGTAAGAATCTTGAAAATGTATTGAATAAATGTTTTCTTCATCTCAAATTCATGAGGTTTAATTTTTTTTATATTTGAAAATGCATAGGTTAATTTGCATAAATTATGAATACGCAATTTACGCGTTCGAAATTCATCATTTTATTTTCTTATGTATTTTTTTTTTTATTTCTTATTATATCTATTGTTTTATTTCTAATGTATTCTTATGTTCTGGAATACATCAAGTTACTTTGAGAAATATATAAAAGCAATTTGATATCAATTCATATCTCCCACTCATAGGAAGAAATACATCTGAACCTGTATTCACATTTCTACTTGTACATTTTTTGATGACATGCGCATACTAATTGTTATGTAACACCTTACAGGTATATCCGATTTCGACGAAAATGATATCAAATGTGCGTAAGACTTGAGGAAAAAAGTAATGAAACGACCATTCAAAATTCCAAGCGGTTGCGACGCAATCTCCGAAAATGTCGAGGGGGCCTCAAAGCCCCCCCCCCCCATAACAGTTAGGGTTAAAGGAAGATTAAAATGATAACCGATACATAGACCCTTAAGATTCATTGATGTAAGGACGAAAGCAATAGATTAAAATAAAGTGTGTCGATAATTTCAAATCTCTTCTTCAATAAATCTCCCCCTTATAAAGCCGATTTGAAGACACCATTTAAAAAAAATTGGCCCAGCGAACCGTGACCCGAGTGTTTTCCAGCGCACCGCGACCCAAGAGTTTATTATAAGCCCAACAACTTATGCCATATCCTGCCAAAATACTTCATTATCACATTGTATAATACTTTAGTGCTACCCTACTTATCATACTGTAAGTTTTTATGGGCTTATACATATTCTTGCAAGTTGGAAGCACTTTTTAAATTGCAAAACAAGTTTTGTAAGAATAGCTTCATCATTTACATATTTACACATACAACGCACACGCTTACAATTGTCTCATAATTTACCCTTTTCTGATTACGCAGTGTGCGTTGTATGTGTTTGTGTGTGTGTGTGTGTGAGTGTGTGTGTGCGTGTGTGTGTGTGTGTGTGTGTGCGTGTGTGTGTTTGTGTTTGTGTTTTTGTGCATGTGTGTTTGTCTGTCTGTCTGTCTGACTGTCATTGTTCAATGCACTGTTTTATTCCTCACCCAGTAAGTTGGCGCAAGTGAAATCAGGCAGTCTTGTAAAGATTGTCTGATGTTCAGTCAAGCATGAAGGGATTCAAATGAAAATAGTACCTAAATGTGCTGGGAGGATAACTCTATCGAGACATATCATGAAACCCATAATTAAATATTCATACTTCAAACAATACAAATTTTAAAAAGTGGGACATTTTTTCTGACTCACCCTGTATATTATTCAGATAAAGACCCTTGTAATATTCTTCGATGAATTGTAATAAGTTGAAAATAAATTGTACTAAGACTGTTAGTATGCTGATAGGCACTAAATATAATTATGTTGAACGGACACAGTAGGTTGAACTTAAAAATTAATGATAATGATATTGTTCAAGTTGACAAATTTAAATATCTAGGTAATTTTGTTGATTGTGAATTAAAATGGAATGAACACACTGGTGAATTATGTAAAAAGGTTGGAAAATGATTAGTTTCTTAGGAAGGTTGCATAACTATGTTAATGAGACTGGGTTAAAACTTGTACATAATGCCGCAATTATGCCACATTTTGATTATGGTGACGTGTTATGGCATTCGGGCACTAAGTCTCAAGTAGACATGTTACAAAAATTACAGAACAGGGCTGGTAGAATTATTCTTAAATTTAAATTATCTGAACATAAGCCAATTAGTGAAATTCATTATATTTTAAATTGGGAAATTTTAGAAAATATACAAGTTAGGCACAGTTATTCTTTAATGTATAAAATATTTCACGATTTGGTACCTGTATATTTGAAAGAGAAGTTTATTGTTAAGACTAAAAACTATGTCCTTAGAAGTGCTAATTTAGTTTTGCCTAAACCGAAAACACAGAATTGTAAGCGTACGTTTCTGTATCGCGGAAGTAAATTGTATAATGGATTGTCTATGCACATTCGACAATCAAGAAGTTTGGCTACATTTAATAAAGAAATAAAAAGTTTGGTTTGAATTGTTATGACAGAGATATTATAGACTGGAGGAATTGGGAAGGGGGTAGCGGGAGGGGTTGGTAGTATCGAGAGGGTGGCGGGGGGGGGGTGGTGAGGTTAGGGGGATCGATAAGGGGGGGGTAGTGTATTGGCAAAATACTATGATTTTTATAAAAAAATGATATTGTATGTAAATTAATATGATTTTTGCTTTCGGACCCCGTGGAAGAACAGGACCATTTTGGGCTATCCAACCCTTTGTCTATACTTTACACATGTACTTACTTTCTTATCGTTTGAAATGTGTTTTTTATTTTTTATTTTTTTAAAAACTTGTATGTATATGTGGAGTTCGGAAATAGAAACAAACAAACAATGGTGGCTGTCCAAACAAACCCACTAGGGTTTTTATACAGCAATTAAATTACTATTTTTACTGTAAATATTTTACTATTTTGTTAACTGCAACCGAAATATTATAATTATGTTTATTAGTACTTCTATTATATTTACTGCATGTTTACTTAACTGTTTTTATTATGAAATTATAGAATTGAATAAATGCTGAATTGAATTGAAAGATATTAAAGAAAAGTGGGGCTTTGCAAAGGAACATACATTCCATAAATGAAACCCGCTTTATCACTTTTAACTAAAATATATGGATGGGAATAGCAATCAATCCTAAGGCGGGAGGGGGGGGGGGTAGGGGAGGGGAAGAGCTTGAAGGGCAGAAGGGGCTGAAGCTCGCCTCAATTAATTTGGCCAACCGTAATACGACCGACCGTATGATTGGGCTGCGAGATGGTCCATTTTTTTGGTGACGAAATTACATATGCACTGATAAAATAGGTCAAGACAAAATTCCTATGAATTAATTTACATACTGGATAATTAATATTCGGCAAATATGTCAGCCGTTATGGCGTAATTGTCCCAATACACTTATGAC